TTCATTAAAAAAAAACAAACAACACTAGGTAAATGAAACAAAATCACTTATACGTAATTATTGTAAATACTACTTCAGTTCAAATCAAAGAGAGATCTTTCTATGTGCCAAATTATCTATCGAAGCAAATGCAGCAGAGCAAAAGTAATGAACGGTACGAACTGTTGGACATTTTTTCTTTAAAATGCTCTTTTTTCATGAGATTGTTTGTATGATTATTACAGTAGTAAAGACCAAGAGTAAAAAGGCCAGATGTAGAAGAGAGAAAGGCATTAAAGCACCAGTTGATCTTTTTTTTTTTCAGTAATCAAATACATTTCCAAAATTTTTACACATCATGTATTTGGCTTTTGCACACTGGATAGCTTTCATTCAAGTCTTTATTCCTGGATTAATCTTCTTAAAGTAATTTGTGTTATAGCCATTACTTAGAAAGCAAGGGTTTTGCTATACAAAACATCTACACATTTTCCATTCCATGATTGTCTTCTACTTTTCTCAGAGACTTAAGATAGGACCTGAAAAAAACCCGCATTATCAGACAAAGGATAACAGCAATCAAAATCCACTTGATTTCAGGGGATCTTTGTCCACTACAGACATTTCACACATATTTATTGCATCAAAGTATACATTTTTTCACCCAAGCCAAACATGCATTTTCTTCACATGACCAAAAAAGGCAAGCAGTTGACACGTGTAACTATATTCTTTTATCCTATCAACTGCCACTGTGAAACACATCACTTTGGTTGACAGCTCACCTATTGATACTCATTTGCTACCAATTTGCTTTCCCTTCTGTCTTGCTGCACCACATTGGGTTCTGAAGCCTGCAACACAGAATGAATTCACTTATGGGCCTCCTTCAGATTGCAGCTTTGTTCCAAGGGTAATGCAGGAAGGCCATAAAACAGCAAAAACATCAAAGAAGGGAAGTATCACCATTGTTCTGCCATGACAAACATTTTTTTAAAGCAATTTGTGTTATAGCACAGAACTACAACCCCTTATTGGCAGCCATGCAGCTTTTTTACCTTAATATTTTCCATTGCTTCAGATATTCTCTCTTTCAAATCTGCAGAGGAGTCATGACTGTGGAGTTTGAGATCTCTCACAATTATATCAAAGTGATTGCCCTTCAGCTGACCAAGCCTAAGGTGCTGGGATGCTGAATGTATGTTCTGTATTTTCATGCCTTTTTTTTCCATTTTGCTTCCAATTTCTTTCAACCTGCATAAACAATTGGGAGAAATTATGAGCCGTCCGCTATAAAAGCTATAGAACTATAGCAATAAATACCTTCTTTACCTTATACTAGAACTAAAAAGGCTGAAGAATTCAAAAGAGATTTAAAACAGATTACTATGAGAAAAATCAAAGCAAATGCAGAGATAGCAGTCTTAAAATTCAGTTGTTATCCATAAACACTTCTAAAACGTTTGCTTCAGTTGCATTTATGTTTTGTAACGTGATGGGTATTGGAATGAACCAATTCATTGAACATTCTCAAGGCAACCAAACTGAATTTTGTATTTTTAATTGAATAGCTCATATATTGAATATATATTGGATAATTCATTCTTCAGTCATAGAAATCTTTTTTTTTTTAAAAAAAAAAAAAAAAAAAAAGTAATGTCTGCCACTTTAGTAGTCTCCAGAACACGATTTCCTCTTTCTTGGTCAGCCTTAACAAAAGCAAACTCAGAACACTGATTCTCTGGGTATGCCTGCACAAGCCTGTAATTGGAAACGCAGCTGACAGTTCAACTATCTGCCCTTTAAAGTATCCGCTCAATCACTTTGTTCTTACATGTATTAAACAGTCATTCAAATGAAGGGAAATTTCAGCTTACTTACTAAGAAATATTTTAACAATTTCATAAATTATTTCCTGATATACAAGAGGCTTGGAAACATTTAACTATTTTGCTTAATTATTTATACATTCAGACAAAGTTTTGCCTATTCTCTTGAACAAATGGCCTTATAGCCCGGTCTGCAGTGGAACTTTACTATCACTATTTATTTATGTTAGTTTCAAACTAACATAGAAACTTTAACTTAACATTTAACTTAGAAAGTTAAGGTTGGGGAAGAAATAAGTTATGTTTTTTACAACAGCATTTTTTTTACTGCAGTTACTACTGCAGAACTTAATATATATATATGTATATATATTTTTTTTACCCACTGAGTTTTGTCTAGAGCAACAAAAATGAGGAACCGAATGGCATGACTTGTAATATTGTCATGTTATTCAGAACCTTTACACTTGGTGGCATCTTTACTTAGTCTCAGGTTTCTATACTGGGCGATGTAATAGAAGCTGATATTCAGGACTCCAAAAGAGCGTCTGTCCAAAATAAAATTGCAGTGATCTAGTTTATTTTTTTAATCTGTATATGGCTCTTAAGTTGTCTGTGGACCACTAGATAAAACTTTGATAGTTTGTGGAAAACTGCTGGGTCACGTAGTATAGGTTCCCTCTCTGTTCCTGCCAGTAGACGGTATTCAGGAAACTGTGAAGGGGATCACATGAGCATGAGCTAGTAGGATAATGTCCCAGACGATATAGTATACTCGTATTATTAAAACAAATGAACGAGGGAAGACTTTTCTTTAAACTCCCACACCGGTGGACTTCAATCTTATGCTGTATATATCCTAAAACCACAAAACATTAAAGCTGTTACCACTGTGCTACAAGAGGGGAAGACACAGTGGTAAAACGACAGAATGGTTTGGGTTGGAAGGGACCTTAAAGGCCCTACAGTTCCAACCCCCCTGTCATGGGAAGGGATGCCACCCAGTAGACTAGGTTGCTTAACAAACATTTAAGTATCAACATGGTGCAATCTGCTGATTAACACATTAAAATATGTCTCAAACTTCATACACCCAGATTTCTAGTACCTCTCAGGAGTAACCTTCTTCACAACCATAGGTTGGTAAGTAATAGCCTTCTTGTCTTTGATGCCAGTGTAACTGAAGTCTGAAGGAAGAACTCCAAGTTCAGCAGCCAAGATGCCGATTGCTTCCAGTGTTTCTAGGTTTTCTTTCTGAAGGGTGAAAGCTGAAACAATCATCTCAGAATTATTAGGAATTTGATGCAAATCATACAGGTGCTCTTCCAGAGCAGATGTCCTGTTCTTCCCTTCAAACTATGACAGCATGGAAACTGCAAAGAAACAGTGCTCCCACTGTTTCCTCTCCCACCCCACAAAATTAAAGGAAATGGGACTTTTTCCAGTATTGAATGGGAAGAATAAAGATGCATTAAACAAAACTCAGAACAATCAATCCTCTGCTGGCTTTAAGAGCAGTACCTGACAAAATGCAACACAATTCAAATAACATGTCTTATTCTTAGAAACACTTGGTTTATTAGAAAACAACTGCTTTAAGAAATGAGATCATAAATCAAATCTGACCTTTCTAAACTGTACAACATGAAAACACATCTTTCCAAATCCCTCAACTTCTTTCAAGGGAGAACTAACGCACGGGGAATAACAGAGAATTAGAGATACAGGCAAAAGAACTGTAAGCATTAACACTGAATAGTTTATGTAAATCATTGCAGTAACTTGATTCACCCATCTCAGGTCTGTTTTTCAGTAATGGAACTATATTACACCAGGAATGATTTATTTCAGGATAAGTAATGGGTGCATCAGGCCTATGTATCATAGTAAAGTGATTCTGAGGGTCAGTGTTAGTGAAGAACTCTGTAATACAGAATCACCTAGGTTGGAAGAGACCTCCAAGATCACCGAGTCCAACCTCTGACCTAACACTAACCAGTCCTCCACTGAACCATATCCCTAAGCTCTACATCTAAACGTCTTTTAAAGACCTCCAGGGATGGTGACTCCACCACTTCCCTGGGCAGCCTGTTCCAGTGCCTAACAACCCTTTCAGTAAAGAAATTCTTCCTAACATCTAACCTAAAACTCCCCTGGTGCAACTTAAGCCCATTCCCCCTCGCCCTGTCACCAGGCCCGTGGGCGAACAGCCCCAACACTTCCTAAAACCACGATATTTACCTGTGTAAACTTCTTGCCCGTCAGGGGAGCCCTCAGCAGGCCGTTTTCGGGACCGCCTGCCCCGGAACCGCACGGTTATCGCCATGTCCCCGCGGGGCAGGGCGAAGCTCTTGGTTTCCAGGAGCTTCCCGAACCTCCTGCCCAGCAGGTGGTGCACCGCCCGCCGGTGCTCCTTGTCGGGGTCGGGCTCGAAGCAGAAGGTGGAGCCCTCCGCCTTGGCGTCCAGGAACCTGAAGAAGCCGCTGGCCTCGGGCTCGCTGACCAGCTGCCGCAGCTCCCGGTAGCCCTCGTCGCCCCTCACCACCACCTCGCGGCCCCGGGTGGCCGTGGCGAGGAAGGGGAAGCGCTGCCGCACGGCGCTGTGCACCCCCGCCCGCTCCGCCTTGCCCCCCGGGCTGCCCAGGCTCAGCTCCCCGCCGCCCCACGCCTCCCTCAGCGCCCGGGCGAAGCGGGCCAGCCGCTCGCTCGCCTCCTCGCCCAGGCAGCTCGCCAGCGGGTCGCCGGGCGGCTCGGGGAGCCCCGGGGCAGGCTGCTGCCCGCCGGGGGACGGGGCTCTGAGGGGAGCCGGCTCCGCCCGCGGCCGCTCGGGGCCGCGCGGGGGCAGCGGCAGCTCCCGCACCACGAAGTCGCCGGGGCAGCCCTTGAGGGTGCCGCGGAAGCCGCTGTGCGCGGCGGCGTAGCCGAAAGAAGGCAGCATGGCTCCCCACGAGGCGAGAAATTAAAAGTCGAAATCGAGTTAGAATTAAAAATGGAGGTAAAATTAAAAACACGCGGTTGAAATTTAAATAAAAATGGAAATAAAGGCGGCCCCGCGCGCAGGGGTACGGATCCAAGATGGCGCCAGGGGGCGCCGCGGGGAGGGGCGCGGGGGAGCCGTGAGGGAGCCATGGGGGTGCTACCAACTCCCTCCAGAGGAGGGGGGGAAAAGCTCTCCCCCTCTATTCCCCCTCCCAGTGGAGCGGCGCTTCCGCCAGGCCGTGCCCTCTTAAAGGGGAATTACGCGGTGGGCTCTCTCCGGGCGGGATGAGCCGGGCGGTGGGCCCCAGCACCCCGCTGCGCCGCCTGCCCTACGGGCTGCTGCAGCGCCTGGCCGCGTACATCGACCCGCAGGACGGCTGGAGGCGGCTGGCCGCGGACATCGCCGGCCCCTCGGGGGAGAGCAGATACACGCAGCTGCACATCAGGTCCCCGGCTTAACGGGAGGTTCCCCGGTCCTGCAGCGCGGCCCCGTTTTTGGGGTTTTTAGCAGCAATTCGGGGGTCGCGCTGCGCTGCCCCGGGGGGTGCCTGCGGGGGCTGCCCCCGTGGGGCTGGTCCCAGCGTTGAAGCCGCGTGTGTTACACCCAAATGTGAATTTCCGTGCTGATTTTCATGCCTCTAAGTACCTCACGCAATCCGTTACATCCTCATTTTTAACGTCCTTGCGTTCGCCATTAATCTCTGCCCCTGCCTCTCCACGCCGCTCTTCTCAAAGCCTCTCCTAATCTGTGCTTTCAGGAGGTTCGAGGCCTTGGAGCGCATGGGGAAGAGCCCCACCTGCGAGCTGCTCTACGACTGGGGCACCACCAACTGCACGGTGGCGGACCTGGTGGAGCTGCTGCTCAGGAACCAGTTCCTGGCACCGGCGAGCCTTCTGCTGCCAGGTAACCCACCCCTCTGGGCTCTGTCAGCGGCTCTCTGGGGGGCTAAACAGCCTCACAGCAACCTGAGGGTCAGAAAGGATTACCTCAAAATAACCTACAGTGGATATCTTTGTCATTATTTACAATACGAGCTTTATAGTGTTGGTTTAGAGTGCTTCAAGTTTGAATAAAAGCCCTGTAGTATTCACATTAGAAGAATATGATCTTTTCATGGAGTTTACATTTTGCATAATCTAAGTTAAAAATGCCATAATGTTACTCGTTTGTTTGTTTTCTTATTCCTAACACAGTTAACGCCTTCTCTAAATTCCATTTTCAGAAGCTGTCAAGGAGGCACAAGAAGTTACGTTACCTCTTTCTTCGCAGGAAACTTTGCCCATAGATGAGAAGTGGCTGCCTATACAGGAAAAAGAAGTGGCAGCTGTAAAACCTAGTCCCTCTCAGAATACAGAGGAGCAACCTTCAACTGCTTCCTACTTAAGTCAGGAAAACAACAGCTCACAGTCTAGTAACACGGGTAGGTGCTTAGTTTGCAAAATTTAGGTACAGTCTTTTTTGTTGATCCGTCCTTCACCTCTGTGAAATAAATCCTAGGAGCACGTTGGAGTAATGACTGCATTCCTATCTCCTTGCTTTTGTTTTTTTTTCTTCTGTGTGACCGTGAATGAAGCTTGTGGTAATAGTAAGTCATCAGAATATGAGATGCACCCTGCAATTAGTGTGGCTACTGTAATGGAAAACTTAATTATTAATCAAGTTTCAATTTGTTTAGTGCTACACATAAACCTGTTGCCCTCTTTCAATACTGATTTTGTAGACTGTTTAGCACCTTGTCCTTTAGAGCTGGATCTTAAATATCAGAAATACCTGAGAAGGTTGGAGAAAAGATGACTAAGGAAAGATATTTTTTTAAAAGAAAGATTTTTTTTTTTTACATTTATTTCCTTGCATCAGAAAGTAGGGCTCTGTTATGTCAGGATTTGTGTCGTAGCAGATAGACAGAGAATCAATTCAATGTGCTTGTCCCATAAGCAAAAATGCATTTCTGTGTTAAATGGCATATATCTCTTTTAGATTTCCACAACTTTTGGTTTCGTGACTTGGAAAGTGTTACAAATAATTTCGATGCACGACCAGAATCAGATGGAGGTAATAAGCTGGGAGAAGGTGGCTTTGGCGTGGTGTTCAAAGGCTACATCAATGGCAGAAACGTGGCTGTCAAGAAACTTGCTGCTGTGAGTTATCCTCAACATCTTTTCTGAAAAATGACCATATAGTATAGTCTTGTCTATCCATGGAAGGCGTTGAATGATAGGTTTCAAAAAGCATCCCTACATTAAGCATCAGTTGAGTTGAGAACCTTATCCTGTAGTCCTGTGTGTGGTGCATGCTGTCACTGTCAGCAGAGATGATGTCTTGCCATTCAGTGGTTCTTATGGTGGCTTGGATAGTTGTTGGGATGAGCAAGGTGCTTCCTCATTTCCCCTCCTCCCCCTGCACACAAGAAGGGGCAGAAGGGAAGGGGAGCAGGCGAGGTTTCCATTCTAGTTCCTATTGCACAGTCAGGTGGGAGACTCACAAGCTAAACAAACTAAATAGGTATTGCTGTATAATTTCAGTCTTTGTAATAAATGTTTTGTGTGAATAATTAATTTTGTAGCTAGTAAGTGCTTTTAGTAGGAAACTACAGTGAAATAAAATGCACAAGTAGGAGAATCCAGTGAGGTAAAACTCACAAATGCACGCCGGGTGGGGAACGAATTGAAAGCAGCCCAGAGGAGAAGGACTTGGGCATGGTGGTTGGTGGAAACACCCAGTGTGACCTGGCAATGTGTGCACGCAGCCCAGAAAGCCAACCGTGTCCTGGGCTGTGTCAAAAGAACGTGGCCAGCAGGGCAAGGGAGGTGATTGTCCTCCTCTGCTCTGCTCTGGTGAAACCTGGAGCATTGCATTCAGCTCTGGGGCCTAAAAGAGGGCAGCTTTACATAAGATATTGGGAAGAAATTCTTTACTGTGAGAGGGTGGTGAGGCCCTGGCACAGGCTGCCCAGAGAAGCTGTGGATGCCCCATCCCTGGAGGTGTTTAAGGCCAGGCTGGATGGGGCTTTGGGCAACCTGGTCTGGTGGGAGGTGTCCCTGCCATGGCAGGGGGTTGGAACTGGGTGGGCTTTGAGGTCCCTTCCAGCCTAAACCATTCTATGCTAAGTTGGTGACTCTAATGAAACTGGATTAATTACTTCAGTAACGTCATGTTACATGATATTAAAGACCATGTTCTGATACTTTTTGTTTGTTTGTTTTTGAATTCAGTAAAAAAAATACAGTAAACAGTATTTAAGTAGGTGTTATGTGTAAATAATTAAAATAAAGGCCAACAACTTGGTTTGTGAACAATGAGCATTTTTTGAATATGTACAACAATATTAATGTAAAATACTTTCTTTGTAGATGGTTGATATTAGTGCTCAGGATTTGAAACAGCAATTTGATCAAGAAATAGAAATGATGGCGAAGTAAGTGGCAGATCATAAATATCACTATAACCTTTTCTCAGAATCTGAGTTGCTAGATAACACTTCAGCTAGCATGGTCCCTTATTTTTGTCTTAACCTGAAAATTTACCTTATGCTGCTAAACTTCATATAGAGCATGAGTGTATTTGGGTCACATCAAAGCACTGCTGCTGACAAATGGCTAGTTTCTTGTGCAGTAGGGCTGGAATGTAGCATGGGGGAGCAAGTTCCCTCTGCCTTGCTTTCTCACAAACGTTAGGAGTTTGGCAGAACATATCTGAATAGAATTTTGTTGCCACAGGTGTCAGCATGAGAATCTAGTGGAATTGCTTGGTTTCTCGAGTGATGGTGCCCAGCCCTGTCTGGTGTATGAGTACATGCCCAATGGTTCATTGCTTGACAGACTTGCTTGTCTGGTAAGTAAAATCTTTTCTAGCTTCCAGCTGCCTTACTTTGTTAAAGTGGGGCTATTTCTGAAATACCTTTGAAACAGTAGCAAACTGTAGTGGCCAAACAATATTTTACTACTTGCTCTTGTGTTCTAGAAGTAAGACACACGATGATAAGTACTCTTCCAGTAATGTTATATACAGATGTTTTAGACCCAGTGTTAATTAGTCAAAGCAGATAACAATATATTGTGATGTACCAGTACCCCGAAGTCCAGGGAAGCTTGGACTTGCTGTGCCTTTGTGGTATGGAGCAGAGGGTGCTGCAGCTCCTGCTTCTGACATTGGCTTGTTCTCTGCTAGCCCCTGAGATTTTGTGTTGTAAAACTGCCCTTGTGATAGCAGCTGTAACATGATGTTCCTAGTCTGTGTATCGCTTTCTGAAGCACCTAAACAAATGGGGTATGTTTCTTTTTAATTATTATTTTGTGTAATGCTTTCATCTGATTTAATCAAATGATGTATCTTCTAGCCTTGGCCTTTAATAACACAGAAGTTGTTCTTTTTTGATAAAGGCAATTTTGTGTATGAGGAAGAAACCAGCCCTTGTTGGAGTGATAAAAATGGTAAACCAGATTTAACCCGCTAGGTGTGTCCACAGTAATCACAGTAATTTAACCGTATAAAACCCGCTTTATATTAAGCAGGTGCAACTTCTGAGGTTGTCATCTGTTCAACATTTTAAATTGGTGTTTGTTCAACAACCCATGCCCCCACAACCCAAAAATGTAGCTTTGCTTTTTCTGCACTGATCTTCCTGCTGTGCTGGCTCAAGCGTTGCTTGAGCTGGATGGAGAGCTGGGTTGGGATACTGATCAGGCTGAACTCTGAGCAAAATCTTTACATTTCAACTGGAGACATTTTCTCTGCAAGTTTCCACCTTTGCCCCAACAGGAAGGAATTGTGTTAGGATGAGAATAAGTAGCACTGAATGGGGAAAGGCCTGGATGTGTTTGGTAGCACTGCTTTCTCAGGCTGGTTTGTTTGATTTGCTCAGGTACCTACATGCATGCAGGTTTTTTGGTTTTGCTTTCCAGCTGAGTCAATGTAGAAGAGAGGTTAAGTTTTGCTTAAGACAGTACAAGTTTATTTGTAGAAATGACTGTCCTTGACAGGGATGAATGTTTTCATATACATGTAACTTTGGCCATTATCAACAAGTGAGCTGAGAAGAATAGTGGTAATTGAAAGCTAAAATTAGAAATGCATTTTTTTTTTTAAAACTAATTTTTTTTTTACAAGGAAAAGACAAATTTACAATATAAATTCAGAAAGAGTCCTCGTCTGATAAAGTCAAATAGGTGAGGAATGCATATACTGAATGTGTGTGCATGCTGATAAAGCAGGATTCATTGTGAATTCATTGGCTTTGTTTGGGGCATAAACTATTATGTCATCTGCTTCTTGTCTCGGCTTTGAGGAGCAGGCAAGGGAGGTGGTGGAGTGATAAAATACTCTAATCCTCCTCCCTTGGCTACTGACAAGATTAAAAAGTGCTTTTGAAATGCACTTTGAAAGGTGTCTTCGCTTCCAAGGTCTAGTTATTAGAGTGGATTGAGCTAAACTCTTGGAAAAGTGTTAAGTCTGGAAATGTTGGAAGATTAACTTCTTATTAATAGTACAAAAATGTTGGTTGCTTGGAGTGATGGGCTTTGACTTAAAAGGCACTGGTATTGGTGCTGATACAAAGAGCAAGGTGCAGCAGATGCTGATAGTTCTTTGCAAAGTAGCTTGTCATACAGGTTCAGCATCAAATATTACTGAGAACACCTGCAAAAAAAAGTAAATTAACCTGTTGCAGAGTGTGGGGAAGAGAACTATATGTGACTGTCAAAGTAAATTAAGAAATCTATGCCATTAATCTTTTAAATTATTTACTTGAAAATCACAACATATGGCGAGCAATTGTTTTGGATTGTGTTTCTTTGTTGTTTTGTATCGTGTGTATTGTGTAGACATTTTGTATCTATGTGTATAATAAATTCTCATGTTTTCACTTCCCTTTTTCCCTTCTTATTCAAGAATGACACTCCACCAATTTCTTGGGATACGAGATGTAAAATTGCTCAAGGTACAGCAAATGGCATCAACTTTTTGCATGAAAATAATCATATTCACAGAGACATTAAAAGGTAAAAGCTGCTGACTATCACTGTCTGCTTTTTCGTTGTTGTACCCTGTTAAAGTTTGTTAGAGGGAACAGACTGAAAGAATCATTGCTTCACTCAAGGGCACAATCTTTTCTGCAAGTGCCATCCATCACCGTAATCTTGTCTGTGCCGCAAGGACACGGCCAGAACAGACTTCTAGAGATAATTGGGGCTGTTGTAATCTGTCACTATCAAACAGTTATTTGAGTGCTGCAAAGACACACAGAAGTTCTGTTGTTTTGCAATTGCTGCTAACAAAAAAGCTGCTGTTGGAGAACATTATGAGTTCTTAAATTGGGAGTTTTTCAGATGAAAACCCAGCCTTTTTTTTACTTCCTAGAACACTTCTTCTGAGTGTCCCCTTCAGTTTCTTTCTATTTATTATGAAGACTTTAAAAATGACTTAAGTCAGGCTTATGAAATTCAGGGCTCTTCAGGGTTGATGTGGTATTCACTTGGTTGTTATACCAGACACTTTTTCTAGGGATATCAGAGATCAGAAAAAGCTTTTGCATTCTGTGATTTTTATTTCTCCCTTTCTTGCTAGTAGTTTGGTTCTCTTTTTGAAATACCAACACAGTACATATGTTTGAAGAAAAGCCCTAAATGCCTTACTCCTTTTGTGAGTTAATGAGGAGAAACGGACTGGTTGAATGTCACGGATGAATGTTTCAGTCACTTTCTGGCTTCTAACAACTCTGCTACATCTAGAATGTATACATTTTGTGAATTCAGCCTATGCAGAAAGAGTTTGTTACTTCAGCTCCCTCATAAAATGTACTGCTGCTTTGACAATTCATGTTTCTTCTTCTTTCTTCCCTGCTTAAGCTTCTGGACAAGTGTAATGCCTGGGAGGGACTCATTTTCATTCCCTTGTGCTGCTCTACCCTTCTAACTGCTGTGAGTTGATCATATTACAGGACTGAGTTTTGTTTTGTTATTCTTGAATTCCATTTTGTAACCTCTTGCACTTTCACCGTGACTAGTTCAATCAATTTGGTTGGTGGTGTTAATATTGCTGCCACTCCCAGCTAAAACTTAGCAAAATGAAAAATGAAGTAAAACTTAGCTGTCTTTTCATCTGTTACGTTGGAATGTGTCATAACTACCCAGGCACTGGAACAGCTTCTCTGTAGGCTAGTGAGGGCATGTCTGAATAGGTGTTCTCAGAATTGACCATAGCTTTTTGGTTGGTTATACCCAGGAAATAGTGCATGTATCTTTTGGAGCTTGACAATTGTGATAAAAGTTGATTCTGTTGTGGTGTATCACAACATGACCTGTCGTAACTCGACTCTTCAGAGATCAGAGCTGCTTATCAACTTGAAGTTATGATCCTGTTCCTACTTAACAAGCTTTAACTATGAAACCAGTTGGCTGATGTTTGGCTTCTTGCAATGATTATATATTATAACGCTTTTTACAACTGTTCTAGTGCCAAGTGACATTTTGTAGCTTGCAGCTGTGTTACTTTTGTTGACAAGGTTTAGTGAACAAGAATGGCAAGTTAGGAGTAAGTTTCTAGTGTTACATGTTGCATCTGGCTATGTAGCTTGTTAATAAGTTCCAGCAAGGGGGTCAGAAAATAAAGAGAAATATTATAAATATTAAATAAGTGATTTTGAAATGGTTCCAAATTCTACAAGCATAAGAAATAGTAGAAGGATTTATGCCGCAATTCATTCCACTGAATAATTTTCAGAAATGTAAGATCTATTAGATAGGCCTCCTACTTCGGGTTTTCTGTAAGGCCAGTAAAAGCTGGAGATCAAATAGAAACACAGCACGTTTCAAGAGAAGAATATAAGTATTGTTATTCATTTTACATGGGAATTTGTAATGGTTGATATTGTATTAGATAATAGTTATAAAACCTGCTTTTATTGGTTCAGAGATTTAACAACTAAGAATTCTAATGTGATCCAATACCCAATTTTGCTCTTTTTCTTGTTTTTTTTTTTTTCTTTTTTTTTGTGTGTCTTTTTTTTGTTTGATTGTTTATTTGTTTGTTTCTTCTTTGCATGCATGCACAAGAAAAACTGCATGGATTTGTCTTCCTGTCAGACAGATCTTACTTTACTTAGAGTAATTCATTTTGAAATTGAGTAATTTCAAAAAAAGTTATGTATATATATAAAGAAATATGAATAAAGACCTTATATTTCAAGAAACATTCAGAACACCAGTTTGCATTTAGTTACTAAAAAGTTATTTGCCTTTAATAAAACCAAGTTACTGGTTTGGAAAAATATTTTTTCATTTTTCTTCACTTTCCACCAGTGCAAATATCTTATTAACTGATACATATGTGCCCAAAATTTCTGACTTTGGACTTGCAAGAGCGTCTGTAACATTTACACAAACCATCATGACTGATAGAGTTGTTGGAACAGCAGCCTATATGGCACCTGAAGCTTTGCGAGGAGAAATAACGCCTAAATCTGATATCTTCAGTTTTGGAGTAGTAAGTAGAATGTTCAAAGCCATATGAATTCTGTTTTGTGACTGGTAAAAGTGTACAGAATCAAGAATACCTGGGAACTAAGAATGAGAGAACTATCTCTGATCTATTATTTCTCCTTCCCCTGCCCCTGGTGCATGTGCTCATAAGAAAGTATTTCTGAACTTAGTTTTGATCCACATAGTTAAATGCTTTTAAACATTGACTTTGCTAATGCACTTTCAAATGGATATCTTTAAAATGTGAATTTATGTATGAAAGACCAGAGTAAAACAACATTCTAAGTTCCAACTAAATATAGGTTGAAGTAATGTAAAACTGTTTTACTTCTTGCATAGTAACGCACAGAAATGTGACTCTGGTTGAAGATTTTTAAGAAAATGATTCAAACTTAAGTTTTCTTTTACTATATTTCAGCACCAAATGTGTGGTACCATGTGGGATTTGCCTTAAAGCTGAATACAGTGCTTATCTAATCCAAATAAGATAACTGCTTATTATTTGGGAGAAAAATGAATCAATTCTGAATAGATTCAAGAGCCATTGACACCCTCCTTCATGGCATTTAGTTTCATGGGCAGGTAGGCCAGATAGTGTAATTGAGTATCTTGGGAGTCCTTCCATTTTGCTTTGAAGCAATGCAATATAGGATGAGGAAAAACTTCCCAAACCACACTGCTAATAAGTGATAATAGAAGTAAAGGAAGGAACACCAAACAATTGCATAGAGGGCTGTCTTTGGACAAATACAGATTCTGTGAACATTTGTTTGAAAGACTGAGGATTATGCTCCTCTTCTCAAATGGTATATATGCTAAGGGTTGTTGTATGTTTCTTCTCTTCTGATTTTTATTTTTTTTTCTCTTAGGTCTTATTAGAAATAATAACGGGTCTTCCACCAGTAGATGAAAACCGGGAGCCACAGTTACTGGTATTTTTCTTTTTGCTTTCTCCCTCTCTCCCTCTAGGATCACATCATGTGAAATCGTAGTCAGTTAACAGGTTATTAGACAATCAAATTAGTCAGCAGGAGATGCAGTTATGATAAGAGCTATTGTATCAATGTGTGCTTTAGAAGTGAGGCAGAAACTTTTCTCTCTTGGCTGGTAGATAACTGCCCCGTCCCCAAGATCATCTCCTTCCAATCTGATGCTTCATTTCTTTGTTTTGATATTGTTTCTTATTGATATATACACACATACATACATATACGTGTGTGTGTGTGTGTATATATATATATATATATATATATATATACACACACATATACACACACACCATTCTGCTTTATGAACATACATGTAATCCAGTTTTACCCAGATAACCTGGTAGTTCATCTTTCACTAGAGCATCTTAAAGCATTCATCTCCATTGGTTCTTTGTTTCTTACCATTCCTGTATCATTTTTCATCCTCTTCAACTTCACTAAGAATTTGCAAATACCTTGTTTTTAACCCTAGGGAAGTTAGGAATTGAAGAGCTATTCTGGGGTGTTTTGATTTTTAATGTTTAAGTAGAAATTGTCTGCTAATTTGGGAACTATGTCTCCAAACTTACTCTTTTTTGAATTAAAAATCTTATTAACTTGCTCTTTTTCATTTTGGTTTATTTTTTTTTTTTTCAAACTACTTAGTCCAAGATTTTCCTGGTATAGTTCTAATGTAAAACTTAATTATTTACTTAGTATGAAATAGAAATGACTTTTGGTTTGGTTCTGTTCCATACTATTCAATATCAGATCACTTCTAACACAGCTTTAGGAATACCTATGTACTATTAATAGAATATTTTCTCTAATCCATATCTTCTGGAGTAGTGTAATACTTATCCTGTTGAACTCTGTGATGACCTTGGAGAACTTAACACTGTGTCAAATGTAATCCTAAGCCTTATTTATTTATTTAAAGTGGGATTTTTCACAAGATAAATCATACTTTTTATTCCATTTTAGATTATGATTGGAACGTTTTTATCATTGTAACATATTTTAGGGAGCATAAAGAGAATGGTCAGTGTAAGACAACGTGACATCCCTAGCTTTGAAAATTTTAGGGTGGTTGAATGTCAGCAGTTTCAGACTCACCCTTGGGGGGGGGACAGCAGAAGGCCTGCCTCTGTTCACTGACTTGTCTGTGGTATTCCTCAGACAGTATTTGTGATTGCCGATAACGTAGTTCAAGTGCGTTGGGGCTGGAAAGTTTGGGACTAAAACCATCAGATTTGAAAATTGATTTCAGACTAGAATCATAGAATGGCTTGGGTTGGAAGGGACCTTAAAGACTATCGAGTTCCAGCCCCCCTGCCCTGGGCAGGGACACCTTCCCCTAGAGCAGGTTGCCCAGGGCCTTGTTCTACCTGGTCTTGAACACCTCCAGGGATGGGGCTTCCACAGCTTCTCTGGGCAACCTTTGCCAGGGCCTCACCACCCACTGAGTGAAGAATTCCCTCCTAATATCTAAATTCTAAATCTCCCTTCTTTTAGTTTAAAACCATCCCCCTTGTCCCATTATTGTCTGCCTGAGCAAAAAGTTGCTCTCCATCTTTTTATAAGCGTCCTTGAAGTATTTAAAAGCTGCACTGAGGTCACCCCAGAGCCTTTTCTTTGGACTGAACATCCCCAACTCCCTTTCTTTGTAGGAGAGGTGTTCCAGCCCTCTGGTCAACTCTGTAGCCAGCCCTGTGGTGCCATTCTAAGAGGTGCACGGCCTTTGTGGGCTGAGGGCTCCAGGCCTGGATGCAGGAGCCTCACTAGGGCAGAGCAGAGGAGGACAATCATCTGCCTTGGTTGATGCAGCCCAGGATGCAGTTGGCCTTCTGGGCTGCAAGGGTGCACTGCTGGCTCATGTCAAGCTTTTAGTCCACCAGAACCCCCAAGTCCTTCTCTGCAGGGCTGCTCTCAATGAGTTCTTCTCTCAGTCTGTGCTCCTTTCTGTCTGGGATTGCCCTGACCCAGGTGCAGCACCTTGCACTTGGCTGTGTTGAACCTCATCAGGTTCATGTGGGCCCACTTCACAAGTTTATCCAGCTCCCCCTGGATGGCATCCCTTCCTTCTGGTGTATTGATTGCACCATGCAGCTTGGTGTCATCTGCAAACCTGCTGAGGGTGCACTCAATCCCACTGTCCATGTCATTGATAAAAATATTAAACTGTACCAGTGCCAGGAGAGACCCCTGAGGGACACCACTTGTCACCAGCCTCCATCTGGACATAGAGCCACTGACCACCACTCTCTGAGTGTGGCCTTCGAGCCAACTCCTTATCCACTGAATGATGGTCCATCCTTCATATTTTTCTAATTTGGAGATCAGGGTGTCACGTGGGACCATATCAAAGGCCTTACACAAGTCCAGGTAGATGACATTGTCTGGTTTTTCCTTGTCAACTGATGTAGAAGTTTCCTTAGAGTAGACATAGCAGCCAGTGACCAACTGGTGGAGGAAGGCATTAATCTCCAGAATGAGGCCTTACGAACTTGATAAAAAAGAAAAGTTACTTGTTCTTATGCTTGCCTACTTGTGGGTTAGTAAGTAAACACGGGTACTTTGTTACTTTTTCAAGAGAAGCAGCCTGATAAGAAACTGTGCTAAGCCTTGAATTGTTAATTGAGCCTTGAATATTAAAGTTGTATGACGCAGCTAAAAGGAACTTGCTATGCAATTGTGTTAACTCAGAGATAAACGTACTGTACACTTCTATCACACACTATAGCCTCATAAGTTGTTTCTGAAAATATTGATGGATAATTATGCAGCCAAACCACTGCCATTATTCTTTGTCTAGAAACGTGGTTGCAAAAATAAGTGCAGGGCCCTGAAAAGCAAGTTTTCAAATTGCTACTGTGGAATATATGATCTTCAGATGCTTACCATGTTATCTGTTCATTGCTTCAAACTCTCTTGCAGTTAGGTATCAAAGATGAAATTGAGGATGAGGAAGCAACTATTGAGGATTATATTGATGCAAAGATGCATGACTGGGATGCAACTTCAGTTCATAAAATGTATTCAATTGCTGATCAGTGTCTGAATGAGAAGAAAAACAGGAGGCCAAATAGTAAGACGGTATGTAGCTTTTCAGATTGAAGGCTTATTTTTAGCCTTTTTTGTAGTTACAGTGTCAGTTATTTGTACTTCTCTCTGTTCTTTTGCAGGTCCAGCAGCATCTACAAGAGATAAAAGCTTGACATATGTTTCTTCTGATACACATGTTTTCTAAACAATAGAGACCAGTAACAAACGCAGACTTCTATCAGCACATAGTGCGACGTTATCAGCTTTTCTGCTTTCCAGAACTTTCTGGCCTGCGTATAAGGTGTGCTGTTGGCTTGTCACCATTGTGCTGTTTTTTAACTGAGCAGCATTTCTACATATCCTTAGTCACTGGACCTTCAACAGATTTTTATTTTTTTATTTTTTGTATTAAGTTTTAGTGCTGGTACATCATCTACACAGCTTTTTAAACAACTAGATTATGAAATGGAAATGTCTTTTGATTTTCAAGTATGTCCTTGGCAAACACGTGGGACAGTTGCAGGTTAGGATGTCTTTCTGCAAATCGCTTTCTTGAGTGATCTACTAGACCTTTTTCCACTGAAGAGAAAAACATTTCATAGTTACAGTTGGTACTTAACACTGTCTTCTTGGAAAGACACAACAGTAGTACCCATTTAAAACCAACTTCTTGCTTAGCATTTTAGCTTGAGAGTTCATATTAGTGTGAGAATAGACTGGTAATGTTTGTGAATGTCACTTTTTGAAAAAAGTCTTCTCAGGATTTTTTTTATTCAAATAAATGTTGCTATCTTCTAGGTTTCAAGGTTTTATAAGTAAAACAATTACACTAATAGAAATGCAAAACAATGTATAGCTTTCTTTTGCTGAACTCAGTGTGATGACAAACGGTTTAATCTTTGTTCATAGGAAGACTCACAAGTAATATTTTATGTTTTAGAATAAGATTCTATATGAGATATTGCAAATATAGATGGTTTATTTTGTTAAAAGAGACCAATATAATGTTGTTAGGATCAATTCTGCCCTCTCCTTAGCTAAATAATTAAGCTCTTATATACATAAATATAAGTAAATATTAAAAATATACATTTAAAGGCATTGAAAGCTTTCAAAAGCAGAAGGATCAACAGATCAAAGAAGACTTCATTCTACTTTTATTGAGATTCTAGATACTTTGGACTACCTTTGTAAGTGAAAAAGGTTAGTTTCATATAAACCTCTTCTTGTTCTTCAAAATTTTCTTGACAGCTTAGGGATAGGAAAACAGTTTGGCATACAGCTAAACTAAGATCTATGATTATGGAAAAAAATTAAACAGAAAAGAATCTGACTGTATTTAGGGGCACATATCGTTGTAGAAGGCATATGATTTTTAGCACTTGTTTTTATAACATTAGAACTCTGGTTATTAAGTTATTCTTTATTTCCCTTTCAAAATGACAGATTAACCTAGAAAACAGAATCCACTTAAACCATTTCTAGTTTTATTGAGTATAAACATTAAAAGCTGTTTAACATAAATAAAAACTGCATTATGACTGTAAATGCTTATTCCAGCTCTTAAAACCTTTAGTCTTGGAAACAACGTGCATTCTATGTTGCTTCTGTTTCTGATAATAGCATTATGGTAACCTCACTGCATGGAATAAAGCTGTACAGCTTTGGACCAGGGATAGTGAAGGGGGAAAAAAAACACCCTGCTATAAACTGGAATGAGAATAAAATGCATTTAAGTCATTCTTAAAACAATTATTCCAGCTGTTACTTGAAGGCTTTCTTCTAGATAATTTCTGCATTTTATTGTTCTCTGGAGCTCAAATACATCTGTATTGTTGCTCTGAAGTTGGTTTGTCATCTCCCTGATGAGTGCTATTCGCTGCTGGTATTGTAGAACAATTTTGTTCATGTACCAGATGTGATATTCTAGGTACAAGGAGCATTGTTATCACAGGTGTGTGAGTTAATGTTCTTACATCATAGTGCACCTGTGAGCTGCCTCTTTGGGCTGCCTGCCTGTTAGCATCTAAGTTTTCCTGATAGTTCTCCTCGCTCACTGAAAATGAAGCATGTTTGCAACAATTTCAGTTAAAAAAATAAATTATAAAAATTGAGCTCTTTTCATAGTGAGGAATATCCCCGTGAGGAATAAAGGTATGTGTTAAGTGAATGTAGCTAGCTTTTCTGTTTTTCTATTATTCACAAGTTGCAAGGAGAGGGGACCTTCCCTATCCCCCAAGTTTTTTGTTTTTTTAAGATCTGCAGATACTAAACCCAGCACCTATAGCCAATGATGGGCTAATAGTAGCTGACTTCTGCTTCATTTATTCCCTGCAAAAAGCATTAAACTATCCTAGGCTGCATCCTTTACATTAATTACTATACTAAAGCTTTCTGTGACAGAAGTCAGTAAACTGGTCGTTCATGTTCTTGGTGAATAAAGGAATGATGGAGCTGGAGGTGAGAAAAAACTTGGTATAGCTGCTAGTAGCTGGATATTTTTTTTTTTTGTCAGCTGTAGTATTTCATATTCTTGCTGAAATGTTAAGAATTGCTGCACCTTTGTATTCAAGATGGCTAGTGGAGAGTTGTATTAAACACCCACTGAACATAAGGCAAAGTGGCTTTTGTTCAAGTTGTCTGTGATATTCATGCTCACATACAGCATACCTCCTTCCTCTCTTACCCGTGCCTCTTATAGGAACTATCTTTTTGTACAGCATTTTGCATTAAAATTACTCTTAAACTCTAGTTCAAAACATCCACAAATTTCCTCCTTCCACCTGCCAAACTGCCCTATCATCCCTTTTCCCTGTGGCGATGTGTTGGCAGGACATTTAAAAGACAAGCCAAACCACTAAGTGTTCTTTAGGAAGACTACAAGCAGACTAGTTCTTGGCAGTTTAGAGAAACATTTATGAAACATCACCATTTGATCATTTAATTTTAATACCTCATGCTGAGCAAATAACAGCGGCTTGAACTATTAGATTACTAATCAACTACTTCAGCATTTTGAAAGAAAGTTTTCTGAAGCAGTTTGTTGTTGAAAGCATAAAAAGCCTCAGGTGTTAAACGTACTTGGAGCCTGCTATGAAGGCTTCCATAAAACAACAAGAAAGTAGCTGTATAACAGAGCATATAAGGATTCTTCTTCAGTAGCAAGAATCAGAAACTTGGTTCCTGCCCACCTCTGTTCTTATCCTGCAGTCACTTCCTTTTTTCACCTGTTATACACCATGATGATAAAATATGTATCTTTGTTAAAGGGAGACTATGAAATTATTCAGACAACACTGAACTAAAGCATCAATCTTTATTTATAAAGTAGATTACAAAATAGATAAAGTTACTTTTAGCATCTGAAGGTGGTTTTCATTGAATACATAGACAGCATAAATCAAAAGTTTCCTTTATCAATGCATTTATTCAACTAACAGACCAATTATTACCTTGGCTAGTTTCATAACCCCCTCACAGGAGATTTGTAAGACCAAATTGTCCCTACTTTGCAACATAGACACTTCAAAAATAATTATATGTCATGTTAATTTACAGCAATTAAATAGCTTGTGATGTAAATGCAAGTAGCTGCATTGCTTTTGGGCTTTATGAAGGCCAACAATAGTTTTAAATGGACACTTTCAATTATTAAATTACCAGAGACAGTTTAAGAAATAACTTTTTTTTAATGCCCTCGTAGTGTGCTGGCTCTGAACATGTCTTAACAGTAGTAGTGTTATGGGAGGCAACTACACAGATGTAAACATGATAGATCTTACAAAAAGATCAGAAAAGCTTCTTATTGCTGTGTCAGGAGAATAGCTACAAGAGGCCTGAAGAGGCAGCTGGCAGTGCAAGACTTCGTGCAATTTAAAGAGAAGTGTCTGTTAGAGCAGGCTTTCTCTTTTAGGGAAAAAGTGAGAGGGAACCAGGACATTACTCTGCTGGCTGGTCGAGGGTTCATACACCCACATGAAATATTTTAAAGTAAAATAACTTAAATGTCTGGTTTGGGCTGAACTCCACAGCAGCTCATTGTAAACTCCCTCACATAATCACTTAACCAGCTCTGGCCATCCTCCAGATTAAGCTTTCTACTTTCTATCCTCATCTACCTAGGGCAGGATTAGAAGGAAAAAAAAAAAAAAGAAGGAAAACAACAAGAGCAAAAACAACAGCAACAACAGAAACAAAACATGCATATAACCACAACTGGTCAAACTGTTCATTATTTAAAACAGTTCATATTAAAAAGCTGAACTTCTTTACTGGCTCAAATGAGTGTAAAAAAAAAAATGTATGTGCACTCGTGGCATGGTTGACACATGGGCAGGAATATTAAATTCAAACAAAAAGCCCTCTTGCAGTAATTTTCAACTGCTACAAGTCAAATGTTTACCTTTAAAAAAAAAAAAAAGTGCTGAAATGATTCAGACTTCAAATAAAAAAAAAAAAAAAGCTAGTTATAGTGTATGTGCTGCATACACACTAACCATGTTTAAAAGCCATGACACTTGTCTCACCAGTAGTACACACCAGAAACGTCCCGAGGACCAGCTCATTGCCCTAGACGGTAAAGGCAAGAGGCAGAAGAAAGAACACAGCAGCTAAGGGCAAGCAGGAGATTATCTGAGGATCGGGAGCTATTGAATTGGATTGATGTAGTGTATAAGATTAAATGAAAAAAGCTGAGGTGTCAGATTCCTACTGCATATAAACAACACAGTAAAACCAGCAACTATTGCAACCTTCACATTACATAGTGCAATCTCAGTAACAAGCTAGTATCTCCAAATGACATAATACATAAGATAAAACAAATTTTATCAGAAACTAGTAGTGTCAGCCTTATTTCCCTACAGAACTATGTTAAACTGAGCTATCCTCCACCAGGTAAACACATGATTCAGCTATACAATGTATACAACCAGCACCTAAGATAATATGCGGTGAACCAAGACTCGCAGCTCCCATGTAGCTCTAAAAATAATAACAACAATAAAAAAAAAAAAATCAAAAGCTCAAAGCTCACATAAAAGATACTAAAAAGCAAGTCCCCACTGGGGAATATAATCTATCCTTTAGAATTTGTCTCATTACACAATTTTAAATATTTAAGTTCATCCAATACTTGATTTCCAAATCTATTTATTCTTTAATCTCCTTGTTAAAATCTATCTTTCCTCTTCCTACTAAATAGATAATTCATGGTTCAATCAAGTTTAAGACTCTTCTGGCTAATTTTAGAATTTAGAAGGGAAGCAGAAAACAAACAAATGCCACAAAATCCTACTCAGGTGCTGCCAGCAGTTTTTCAAGACCCCGTTGGATTTTGTTTAAGATTTAACTTACTATTAAAGTTCAAACATTTAGGAAAAGTAATTTTCAGAATACCTTTAAAGTTGCAGTTGATAATGGAAGAGCACTAGGCTCTCAAGAATAAATCATCATTATGAAACAAAGTAAATCTATTTCCATTTTTAATGAACTTGCACAGTTTTAGATCCAAGTGCACAGATAGATTATCAATCATTTATTAGAAACTTTACTCATATCACTTTGAAAGCAGCTCCGTAATCTACTGAGTATACTGACTGATGCACTTTTAATCACATTTAACTTGGTCATTCAGTACTTAATATATAAGTCTTATGAGTGGTACAGAAGTCTGGAAAAGCTGTAGTGGTTTTATGTTAGATTACCTTAAGAGACAATTCCACTAAGCTGGTCATGAGTTTGAAATGACCACGCTTTTGTGCAGGAAAAAAAAATTTAAAAAAAAATCTGCTACTCCTGAGCAAGTACTCACCACTAATTGACAGATAACAGATTTTTTTTTTTTTTTTAAGTAGAACAGATTAATTAAAAACACCAACAACCCATCACATCAAAAACAAAAAAATCTTCTGCTCTGTTATTGTCCATGAGAGCTACCAGAAAGAATAATGATTTATCTGGGACAGTGCTAGATAGTGCTTCAGCTCTTCACACAGGTGAAGTCTTACAGGTTTCAAGAGGCTACTCATATGGATACAGGTTCGTTATCTAGGCATACAGCTGCTACTTACCCACAGAAAATATGGGCTTAATAGTCTTGTCTGTGAATGATCACATGTATTGCTATTAAATAATGAATTCTAATTTAAAATAAAAGGATACTAGCTTATTTTTCTTCCTCTACCTTTAAAATAATCAACTCTTCCACATGTCATAAAATATGGTCAACAAATATAATCATGTAACAACATGGGAAGCATCGAGGTCAGAAGAGGGGAGAGTAAAAAGAGGTTTTTTTTCCCCCCTAGCATCTATGGATGGAATGATTTCAGTTCATTAGCAAAAGTCAGATTTTTTTAAAAAACTGTAATACCCTATAATTAATGCAAACGACAGTTTCTAATCACTAGATGTTTCAGTCTCTGCTGGACCTCTGATCAGTCTTCGTATTCCCCTCTTCCCTGCAGGACCTTTTGGTTTAGCAAAACTTTGTTTGTGTGCGTGTTGTTTTGGATGAACCTCTTCATAAAGAAAGTCAGCAGTTAACTCATCACCATTATCAATTTCAATCTGGAAGAAAAAAAAAAAAAAGCAGCTTATAATATTACTTATACTCACCTTATACATTTAATAACATTTAGAAATTTTGCTGAAGCTCCGACTACTGTATTAAAACCAGTATGTACAATAATGTTCAGAGTCTTACATGAAATGTTCTCAACTTGTGCCTAATCACCTCAGAAATCCTGGATAGTCCTTCTGAGAATCAACTATACTCTTAGCAGTTTTGATGCAAGTGCATTTTGATTTAATCAGTTCTTCCTTAAATATAAGCACAACTACATATCCCAAAACTCCTCCTGCTCCAAGCTTTAGCACTGCATACACAGCAATAACTAGGAGTACACACTCCATGTGGAAACAAGTGTTTATTAGTCCTCCGTAAGAAACTTCCTTAATAAAGCAGCATGTGATCTTTCAGAAAATTTCCTTTGTTTATCCTCTCCTCAAAAGTAGAAACTTTTCATTTTTCCAGTGTAATCTTCACATTGTAAGAATTAAAGTTTTCAGACACTTTCTAGTGAAAAAAATTAACCTTGTAAAAGCAATGCGTATATATATATAGCTGTCTCCTAGAGTGCAGAAGTTGTATAAACAGCTTATACAACTCGTGGATTACTGCAACTCAGCAAGTATTCATGCCAGGGAAAAGCCAAAATAAATTTAATTAACAGAGTTTGTTTTGTTTTAAATGTAGGAATATAAACCTGAAAGAAAACACTGTTCTGAAGCCAAACCCCGGTTTTTAATTGCATGAATTTAGAGTTCAGACAAATGCTTTGGCCCTGTCCTGCTGAGCATTGAACACTTCATGGCCTGCCAACCATAGCACTTGATGGACTTGTCAGCCACTGTATTGCTGTTACAAGTACATGCTTCACAAAGAGGTCTGCAGGACTTTCAAGAGTCCCTTGGTACATGTCTCATCTAAAGACATTTCTGAGAAATAGCAATGTATAAATACATGTGCTGATAATCTACTTAAGTTACATCAACACGATAAAAATGGCTAGTGACAAGTCTACTAGTTTTTTTTCAGGTAGACAAAAACCCCACTGAAACCAAGCCTCAAAATCCTTCTAAATTTACAGCACGAGCATTAAGAATGTAACCATCAGTCATATATTTCCCAACAAATGGACCACTACCGTGGCCTCTGCTCTGGAAGTGAGAAACCCTTGTTGTCACTTGTTGTGTTGTTGTCTTTACAAAGTGGAAAGATCAGCTTACTCACATGTCCTTGTTTGCCCCATCAAGGACTCCTAAAATGCAGTTTAAGTTCCAGAACTGCTGCTTGATTTTTTAGTTTGAAAATCATTATATAACCTTGGCCTTAAAGGAATTTAATGTTCAACAACAATGTGCTGTGGTCCAAAGAATAACAGGCCTTTGAGTAAGAAATCATGTTACTTGTAAATAGTCCTTCAAAGTACTCTCAGACACTGTTGATGCAGAAGAATAAGTTTACTAAATCTATGAAAGTGTAGAAATTACGAACCAGACAAAAGCCCTGAAGCTAAATCAACAAGTATTTCTTGTTCAGGACAAGTTCTTATGCAGATCTTTAATAACTATGCAGAACTTTTCATTGTTTACAGAAAGTAGTGGCAGAGATAATTATGGTTAAGAATATTAAGAAGGGAACTGAGGGATGGAAAAAAATACCAGTATACCCAGTGTACTTACCTTTCTAATTATTGGCATCCACAATTGTCTTTCTACAATTTCTAAAAGCGGACTTTTACAACTAGAGTATAGCATTCGTTCTCTTATGCTACAGGTGTATCCTGGCATGGAGTAGATGAAAACTGCAGGAAAAAAATATCAGAACAAAAATAAACCGTATCAAAACCTGTATCATAGAATCATTTACAGCAGAAAGACATTGCAGAGTAATTGTGTAGTCTGAAAGGGAAAATGTCCCGAACAGTTTAGGATGTTTTGCTCCAGCAAGTATTTAATTTCAAAAGAGGGGGAATCTTTGTTTTTTCACATGGCAACTGATTTACGCATGTTCATAATCAGAAGGGATAATTCTCTAGTTTCTAAACACAGTGACTCTTCAGAAGTCAGTTTCACAACCAAATGACCTTGAATTTTATGATTGCATTAAGCAGTCAGATTCCTGCATCTTTCTCTCTGCCTCAAGATTATTAAACTATTTGAAACAAACCAATGCGAGTTTACACTGGAAAATTTTCTCATACCTATGGATTCCAAATAGTCTCCTTCATGGGCGTGCTTATAGAGGAAAAAGTGGTAACGTGCAGCGTCCTTTGGAATTCTTTTTGGCAAGTCCTTCAGTTCAGTATGAAGTGTGTTAGCCAAAACAATAGTTTCATTTTTCATATCAATTTGCTGTTAACAAAAGAAAAATGCATATAGTTAATACACAGAAAGGAAACCAGAGAATATGATAGGATGGAAAAAAAAATATTACAGAATGGTAATACATCAGTATCAACATATATTGTTCAATACACAGGCAATCTATTTAGTACTCACTATTTAAAATATTTAAAGTATTTTATACTTGCCAGTTGCACATAATTGAGTTGCTTATTTTTCAATTTCTCCAAAGCGTGAATAG